GATCGCTACTTCTTCAGACGCAAGCCTCTCCCCACGCAGTGCATACAAGCACTATCTCAATCTTTGCAAGGCTCGACACCTGAAGAAACTACATTTAACTGCATTTGTTTGTATTTGGATTTCCTGTTTTGCATTGAGGTTATAATTATCTAGTATACGCGGCGAAAACAGGGCGACAGACTAGCATGTTCATCTTTTCTTCAACTGTGTTCTGTCGTCGCCTGACCATCGCCGACATATCGTAAAATTCTTAACTCTAAAAGTACATTGCCGCGATACTGACCGGTAATGCTGTTTGGTTTCTTTCTATCCCTAGATTATCGTTTCAAGTTGTCGAGGCCCTAACATCAAAGGCGATAATGCCGTGTGGAAATCGCCACAATGAATGTTAGCGATGTCTTAGCGACAGTGCTATTTGTGCCAAACCTCATATCCAGAAATCATCGCCGACGATATCGAGGCGATAAATATTTATCGCCGGCGATAATTTGGCGATAGGGCTTGGATATGTTTGTGCTACCTGGGGCACGCCAGTTCGACCTGTTGTGGCTGGTCGGGAACACGGCGATGCCAAGAATTATTCCAGGGTGGAATGGCTTTATGAGTTCCACCATGGAGGGCACCAGTTCGTACGCTTTAACAGCTACTCTACCTCTTCCCTCCTTCCCTCCTTCAGATCCGTCAACCATTTCCACTTGCCTCCACTTTGCTGCTGAACAAGCTAGAATACACCACCAGAAGTTTTGTCCGGTGACCTTTGATCAACCACTTTTCTGGAAAGCTGCAGAAATGGTTTTGGCTTCACCTCAGAACAGCCCATTGAGAAAAGTTATCGTTCGTCTTGGTGGTTTCCATCTCCTCATGTCGTTCATGGGCTCGGTGGGCAATGTGATGTCCGGCAGTGGCGTTGAAGATCTGTGGGCTACCGTGTACGCCAAAAACACAGTCCAGCACATTTCTTCGGGGAAGGCGTATTCTCGGGCTGTTAGAGCTCACTTTCTCACGCAGACTGCTCTACTTGGCATTGTTTTTCAGCAAGTATTTCTGAGCCCAAAAATCGCTCCATTGCGCAGAGAGTTGCTTGAAATGTGCCTTGCGCTGCATCGAGGGGAAGCCACAGCTGAAGAGGGGGACCTCCTGCGCCGTGTTCTGGAAAAAGTATGCGTTACTTTGTGCAACTTGTCCGAGAGCAGCAACACAGGCAGGCTGTGGGTGCAGTATATTCGCCAAGTAGAGCTTATGCGGCTGCCTCTCCGCGCCGAGCGAGTTGGGGACTGGAGCTTGCATCTCCATGCTGTCAGGGAAATATTACCGTACTTCCATGCTGCGGGACACCTCACCTACGCAAAATCAGCACACCTATACCTCCAGCTGATGGCTGTCGCTGAGTCCTCTCTTCCGTCCGACGAGTCTGCGCGGCTGTTCACTTAAGGGTTCTTCTCTGTGCGGAAGAAAGAAAAACTTTGGGCGGGCAATTTTTCTGACAAAACCATCGAGATGGATTTGATGCGAAATATGAAGACCATCGGTGGTATTACTGTGCATGGGCGTGGTATCACAGCGAGCACACTCGCAGTTTGGGTTAGAAGTATGCCTTACTGTTCTGAAGCTGTAAAGGCGTTAGAAGATTTTTGTGGCATATCCCGCGGTTCTTCAGAGCAGCATGTCCAACTCCGGGACGCTACGATATCCAGAGACGCAGAACATCAATCCTGTTTCAGGAAATAGTTTGAAGAACACAGTCCGTTCGATAAGCCTCGTGACCAGCTGGTCTGTCTATCTTCTGGACTCATTGCTGACAGCACTGTTACTTGTCACAGAGCCCATGAAATTGGTTGTGTTGCCATGGGAAAGTTTGTGGGGCAACTCTTTTCTGATATCACTCTGCACAGGAAAGATAAAGCTGTACCCATCTCAGCCATGAGCAGGTCGGTGTCCATAAGGGGCGTAACTTGTCAAGTAAACCCGACGCAGCCGTTTCACCGGATTATTGTTGCTCTGAAAGACATCAGCCAGTTGGAGAGTCATTTTGCATACGAACTGGCACCATTCTCCCTTTCACTCTTTGATGAACAATGTATTATGCGCAACACTGCAAAGTCGAAGCTGGTAGAGGCTGTCGAATCGCTTTATGTGCGGAGTGATGACAAAATCCCACCAGAGCCCAACTACGTGATAGATGGAGGTTTCCTGCTGCGGAAAGTAGTGTGGCCGCGCCCAGCTACTTCTGGTGATGCAGTCAACTTGTACGTGAAGCATGTCACACGCCATTATGGGGCCACTGCCATGGTTGTGTTTGACGGTTACCCGGACGGCCCTACTACTAACTAAGGACCAACAACACAGAACAAGAGCAGCAGCGGGTACCAGCGCGGACTTGTCAGCAATCACTCCGTCCATGAGCATCTGCGAGACCCAGTCCAAATTCCTGTGTAATGGCAAAAACAAGACCCTGCTGATTAATTTGCTGACAGGAGCTTTGCAGCTTGCTGGAGTCACCGTTGTTCACGCGGAGGCAGACGCTGACAGGCTCATAGTCGTCAAAGCTATTGAGGTTGCGCGGGGAGGTACACATTGCGTTGTTGTCGGTAATGACACAGATCTACTTGTTCTCCTCATCGGTCTTGCAGACAAAACTTTGCCGCTTCATTTACTTTCCCCCGCGTCCGGACGAACGGGGCCAAAAGTGCGCCACATTCAGAGCCTGCTAATTGCAAGGCAATACAAGAAAGATGAACCCCGTAATATTCTTGTGGCCCACCCAATATCTGGGACTGACACGGTGTCAGGGCCGAGGGGTGGATAACTCCTGAATTGGGTGTACAAATTTCAAAAATTGAATTTGAATTAGCTTGAATTGGCTTGAATTAAATTTGAATTGAACTGAATTGGTTGAATTGTTTTTGAATTGGTTTGAATTATTGTGATTTTATTCTACCGAATTATCGTGAATTCCCGACGCAAAAAGATTTGTTTGCTTTTGGTATGCTTTCGGTACGCT